CCTCTTGGGATAATTGTCGGGATGAACATGTTAGTAAGAACAAAATAGCTTGAGGTCTCATGGGGGGTGTAAATTTGTAATTTTGAAATTTTAAAAATTTAATTTAAATATTTACAATAGTTATATACTAGTATAATTTTATACGTAGTATTATACTCCCTCAGTTCCTTTATTCTCCAATACTTGTCCCCTTAAGGTGTGTTTGAGAGTTTGGAGGGAAGGGGAAGGGAAGACTTTGGAGGTATGTTATTGGAAGGAAAAGAGAGGGGGTGAAGAAGTCCTTCTTTGTATTTGAGAGTAATAAATTTAGAAGAATAGAGTTTTTGAATGAATTATAATTAAAATCACTTTAAGATACAATGAATTCAAATAATTGAACTGATATTTATTTTTAATTGATCTTAAATTACCATTAATTATCGTTCAAAACCCTCCAAAGTGGAGGAACTCAAAAATTAAGCATTTAGAAGATTTTGGAAGGTCACGAAAGCCCTTCAAAACTACTCCCTCCAATTTTATAAACCCCTGATGTGAGTTTTCTCGCACTTAAAATAGATCGTAATATAGTGGTGTAAGTACGAGTATCGTCTCCACAGGGACGGACAAAAGGGAATCAAGAATTAATTAAATTTAGCGATTAAAAATAAAATAAAATAAATGCGTCGTGCAAGATATGATTGGTATGAAAATTAAACTAATACGAATGAGCGATTAAATAAATTGGTTGGTTTCTCTCTAATTAATCACGAAGGGAACATGGATTGATTCCGGGGGTAACCAGATTTCTGGCAGATCAGGACTAATTACATGAAATTAATTTAATTGAGCCTAGCTAATCATTACTAAGTTCTTACCGCTCTCGCGGCGTAGAGTACAATAATTTAGGGGACCAGACTGATCTCTCATGCAACAGGTTCCTAAATTATTGCCAAGACGAGCGAGCTTACGGCCCCTTAATCGCTACTAATCTCTTAGCGAACGATTAAGTGTGTGTGAATGTGTCCTAGAATAAATTAGATCTCTCTTAATTTATTCTATAAGCAATTGTAATTCTAGCAGCCATTCTAGGTTACAAAAGATATCTTTTTAATTATTCAAACACAAATTAAACGGCATTCATGCAATTAAACCAACAAGAATCTAGCCATACATCATGATTAACCCCTTCATCAACCCCAAATCCCTAATTAAACTACTCACAATTCATAATTGAAGAATCAACAGAATTGGGATGAATAGAATAAATTGTCATTAATTAAAAAGATGAACTTACAAATAATCTCATGGTCTTGGAGTAAACAATCGTAAAAACGCAAGTAAATTCGTCCCTAGGCCTCTTCGTAATGTTCGTAACGCTTAAACAGGAGAAGAGAGACCTTATTTATAGAAAAAGATATGTTTGGGCTGAACTGGGACTAAAAAGAGGCTGAAATCCGCGTTTTGGGGATACAACGATTGTGCGTATTCTGCCACGCACGATCGTGCGTACATGGCAGTGGCTTTCTTCCGTTTTCGCCTCGGACGCACGATTGTGCGTTCCCCTACGCACAGCGTGCGTCAAACTTCCGAATTTGACAAATCTTCCTTCATAAAAGTTGTAGATAATGAAGTCCTCTATCCACCCCAACTTGCGGAATCGGATTTGAATCATCCAATCAAGAGATATGATTAAAATGGTGGAAGGTCTTATTATGAAATCTCAACAGCAATCATCCGACTTCATCGTCTGTTTTCACCTTTCTCCTCTCAGATTTTCGAAATGGTTTCTTTATATGATTTGTAGCCCTTGAAGTTGGCTTTCATATGGAACTTGAATCGTGTCCTTTATATTTTTATACAAAGAGATATGCTTGAACGAGTGACAGAAGGTCATCCTGATCGTCGTTTTCCAGCTTCATTCATCTTCTTTTGATCTCATAACCAATCCTAGAGCTCTTTTTCCTTCAAATCTTCATTATAAACCTCTCATTGACCTCCAAAGCTCTCAATCCACTCTCGAGTGCTTCTCAACTCATCCCGATTGCTTCTCAAGCGCCGGTGCCGAACTCTAAAATCCTGATTTTGACTCCAAATGACACAAAACTCGAACCAACGCTTGGTAAACATAACTTGAGCTACAAATTGAGACTTGTAACACCTTGAGCTAAAATTGAGACTTGTAACACCTTAAAGCTAGGAAAACCATCAAAATCCGGTCGCAACATGCATCAAATGCGTGTCTAAATATGGACTTATCAACCCCCAACCATGAAAATGAGGGTTATAACCCACCATCAGCCTTCCTCTCCCCTCCAAAAATCCAAATCCCAAGCATACTCTTAGACTTTGGCACGGGTTCTAAGAGAAAAATATTAGGAGTGATGTAAAAGATGTTGAGAGTTGTGTTTGAATGAAAAAGTATAGAAAAAATGAAAAAGGTAGGAAGGAGCATGAAAGTATATAGTTATATTAAAAAAAACTTTCTAAAATTGAAAAGGACAACCATTTAAAAACAACGTGCTATCCAAGCAAAGTGATGATTCAAACTTGGTATTAGAAGAAGGAAGTGTTCAAAATTTCAAATTCTAACTGTTGAAGTAATCTCAATTCTCAATTCGTACGATATCTCATAAGTCCGAAATTGCTTTGGAACTAATAACAGATTGGTGGTTTCTTTTTCAAATTACTCCGATCCAAACAACTCAAATTCCATTCCATTAGAGGCACCAAATGCATTTGATTTCCTATTGGATTCTTTAGATATTTGAGATTCTTGTTTCTAATCACAATATATATACGTGTCTTCAATTCAATCGGATGTTGTCTAGAATTGTGCTAAGTATCAAATATTTTTTGAATAATAGCCTGTAATTAAAATAAAGTTGTAAAGGCTAGAACATATACCTAGGATTTAACACACAAAAATCGGTTTTGAGTTCGAGTGCGTTACGTCAAAAACAGCTGTACAAATTAGTGAAGTCAATTGTTTATTTGGATGTTGCACGGGTCCATCCACGAACCACTGTACCGTTTACGACATTCAGTATTTTCCCGATAATCAATCTGTCAATAACGTTTCTCCGCCAAGGTTGGACGAATTCCATATAGTAATCCTTGTTTGACACATCATAGAGTTATTTTTTACTCTTGCGTATGCCAATGTCCTTACATTTAACTCCTTCAAATAGTTATTACTAGGGAGAAAAGTGTCAAATAGGCCCCTACTAATACAGAAAAGTCAGTTAAGCCCCCAAACTAAAAAAACACCCAATTAAACCCACGAACTATAAAAAACGAGGCAAAGCAGTCCTTTTAGCATGTAATTAACCGATTCCAAGTAAACTTTTACGCGTGGCGACAACCGACAGGTGGCCACAAATGGCGACACGTGGCGACACGTGTGCGACACGTGGACTAATGGAACTGGGAACCGGTTAATTACATGCTAAGAGGGCTGTTTTGCCTCGTTTTTATAGTTCGTGGGTTTAATTGAGTGTTTTTTGAGTTCGGGGACTTAATTGTCTTTTTCGTATTAGTAGGGGGGCCTATTTGACACTTTTCCCTTATTACTATCTTCGTAATACTCCCTCTGTCTCAAAATGAGAGTCCCATTTCTTTTGGATTCAAAGATTAAGAAAGTGGTTGAAAAGGTAAAAGTTGTGGTTGAGATTTGAGTAGAAAAAGGTGAAATGATGTGGACCACATATTTCTTTCCGAAAAGGGAAATGAAACTATCAATTTGGGATGACCCAGAAAGGAAATATGAGACCATCAAATTGGGACGGAGGGAGTAGTTATTACTACCTCTTCCCACTAAAATGGGGACACGATGGGTGGTGTATATTTTTAAAGGGGTTAATAAACTAAGAATAAATCACAATGACTCTAATATTTTAAAATATAACCCCCAACGGTTGAATCCACAACCCTAACGCCTCCACACCCCGACAACAAGACATATGAGAATTTGTAAATCAAGGTGGCTTAGTCAGCTCAATGATGTTAGACTTTGTATTCATGCACATCAGAGGTCTAGCTCAGCATGCATAAGCTATAATCTTCACACGGCCGCTGCGAGTTTCGATTCTTGACCATTCATCAAACTTTCGGTCCACTCGATCAATTGAGCTACCCGTGCCGATAAAAAGTTTCTTAAATTTGGTACTACTTACAAGCCCAATTTATTGGGATAGAACAAAAAGACACTTCTACAAGTAAAAAAGGTACTGTCGCCATCTCAGTTAAAGATTTCCATTGCAAAAACGACACACTTATATACTCCCTCCGTCCCGAAAAGGTTTGCCAAATTTTCATTTTTGGATGTCTCAAAAAGATTTGTCATTTCCATTTAAAGTAAGGAATACGTGACTAAAGTTAATTCTCTCTCCTCTGCACAAATTTCAACCACACAGTTTTTACTTTATTAATCTACGTGAAAGTCAAAGTTGGCGAATCTTTTCGGGATGGAGGGAGTAAATAATAAGTGAATAAGGTAATTGGAGTATATTTTGAAAAATAGTTTTGAAAATTATATAATACTTCGTATAATGAGTTCATTGGTGATTATTTTGAAGTTATAGATGTATTAAATTTAAAAGTGTGCAATGTTTGTTGATACGAGAATGCGGGCTTTCAGCTGGGATGCTCCAAAAACAAAATGAAAACCTTAGGGATTAGAAACATGTATTTCAATTATAGGCTTTGATTAACTTTTAATTCTATTTACTTCATACTAGTATACTGTTTTTTATTACTTTAACCTTACTACTCGGGGTATTCCATTCTATTCTGCTTCTGCTTCTTTTTTAAAAGCAGAATCAGAATCAGAACCAGTTTTCAGAAGCTGATATCTCCTAGCTTCTAAAAACTAATTCTGAGAGTAAATTAGAGCTCCAGAAGTGCTTATGAAATTTCACTCAAACACTCCAGCTTCTGCTTCTCCTCCCTGAAGGAGCAGAATCGGTTTTGAGAATCCATCCGAACACCCCTCATATAAATCAGGCAATACCCATTTCTTCACACAATCACACAGATTCCCTTCACACACAAATCACCGCAAGGGTTCTCTTCCCCCCCATAACAAATGGCGCTCCGTAAAACCATAGCGAGACGCCTATTCAGCTTGAAACAAGCCGGCTCAGCTGCGCCGGTTAAACATTCTCCGGCTGCCGGAGAAAAGTACCTAGCCCCGCCGGACGCATCCAGATTGAGCTTCCACAGAGAACTAATCACGCCGCCTGACGGAACAGTCAGCGCGTTCTTCCAACGATTCTTTCACAAGAAAGCGGCCAGCCAAGCCACGAGGCTGCCGGATTTCGTATCTGCTCCGGCCGGAGATGGTCTGAGAAAAAAGCTATGGCTGGTTAACATTTCCGGTGAGAGGATCCGCCTCGACGGGCTTGTTCCTCCTCCGCCGGTGACTGTTCCGGAGGACGGCATCGGCGAAATTTCGGTAAATGATGTGAGGAAGATTCTGAGGTCTTCTCAGATGGAGAAGGTGAGGTCGAGGGTAAGGAATATTCCGGTGAACTGCGTTTCGTACTCGGAGTTTGTTAATATTTGCGGTGGAGGTTGTGGCAATACAGAGCAAGCTCTGGAGTTTGCAAAGATGATGGACGAATCCGGCAGCGTCATCATTCTTGGCGACGTCGTTTTGCTCCATCCTCATAAGGTAATTTTTGTACGGACTAAAATGAAATTGAATCTTGACAATTCGTTTCACCCCTACTTTTACAGTTTTACTTGGTTGGGTGGAGAGCTAATTCATTTGAGTTAAGAAAAATTATTTTTAGAATATACGTAGTATTTTGTTAATAAAATAAAGAAAAATTATATATAAAAATAGTTAAAATAGTCGTTAACTTCAGCCAATACGGTCAGAAAAGTAACTTCAACTTTACTTTTTCTTATTATTACACAATTTAGCGCGAGAAAACAAAAGTTACGTGTTTGATGAAAAAGATGGCTGATAAGTCTGATAAGCCGAAAAAACAGTGTCACCAAACGACATCTGAAATTTAAAGGGGTAGGTACAATTTATGACAGTCCAATATTTTGTTAAATTTGTATTCATGTTGTGACTATTAAAACGGTTCACTTTGGTTCGGTTTAGACCCACCCAAACTCGTCCCGTATTGTCTCATTTTTAAATAGGGATAGACAATAATCTAAAATAGAGTAAATAGTCAGTTTGGTCCTCGAAGTTGCAAAAAAGGCGTCAAATAAGTCCTTATATAGAAGATTCTGTCCGGACATGCCATTTGAGGTGGCTCCCGGTGGAATTTTGTGATAAATTTTTTTTTAGCATCTTATTCATTAAGTCTAGTTTACTCATACCAAATTTCAGCTAAAAAATCAATCGGGAAGACATTCAAATGAATTCTTGAAGATAACAACGCTTTTAACAGCACAGTTATCTTCAAGAATTCATTTGAATGTCTTCCCCATTGAATTTTTATCTGAAATTTGGTATGAGTAAACTAGACTTAATGAATAAGATGCTCAAAAAATTTCATAAAAAAATTCCACCAGGAGCCACCTCAAATGGCACGTCCGGACAGAATCTTCTATATAAGGACTTATTTGATCCCTTTTTGCAACTTCGAGGACCAAACTGACCCTTATCCCATCTAAAATATTTGCTAGAAGTTGATCAAAATAAGATTAACACATAGTCAATAATCTAAATTAGAATTAATTATGTTCTCTTCTCAAAAAAATGACTTATTTAATCCTATCAATAGAACAAAAGAAAAGAAATTCATTTAAATACAGTCTTATTTTGAGAAAAAACATACTATTATTCGAAAAAATATAAAGTGTTCTACTTTTTTTACACCAAGGGGATCGGGAATGGGGTGAGTGGGCTTGGGTAATCAGGATTGAAAGTGTCTTAATTGAATTTTGAATCTATGACCTCTTATAAGGAAGAGTGAGTCATTGACAAAATAGCTTCATCCAAAGTGTTCTACTTGTATTTAGAGAATTATTTTTATATAGACTTAAAAATCAGACTAAAGTACTAACAAGCAGAAAATTTCTGAAAACATAACCAACCTTACCAAAATAGCTACTTAAACAAGTAGCTAAATGTTAAAACCATATTAATTCTATATTAGTTCACATATAGGCTATATAGTTAGTTTATGAGATAACATGTTTATGTGAATCCCAAATGCTAATGCATATGTGCGTGTAATTGTGTGTAGTAATTTTTGTTATATACTTTTATACTAGGTATATTTTAGTGCCTAAGAAGGAAACCTTACAATAATAGGTGGCGAAATCTATGGAGAAACTAATTTCCGAGACAAATGCACGGCCTAACGATCCGAGAAGGAAACAACTGGAACGGATGGAGCATGAAAAACGCATGATCGATCAAAAAGCCCAGTCATTAGTAAAAGGTGAATTGTACTGTGGATTGGGCTTTCTTGCTTTGCAAACGTTGGGCTTCATTAGGCTAACTTTTTGGGAGCTGAGTTGGGATGTGATGGAGCCCATCTGCTTCTTCGTCACGTCCTTTCATTTTGGGCTTGCGTACACCTTCTTCCTTAGGACATCCAAAGAGCCCAGTTTTGAAGGGTATTTTCAAAGGCGTTTCAAAACCAAGCAAGAAAAACTAATGAAAATGTATAATTTCGATATTGAAAAATATAATATGCTCAAGGAATCCTTTTACCACATGGATAATCATCACCTTACAGGAGGTGGTGCACTTCATGGCTGAGTATACATATGCAGACATTCAGTGTTGAAGTTATACATGTTACCATACCAGATAATATTTGTAATTATCGTTTTTTTAAATATAGGATTTCCTATAATCTTATAGGTGCTTTAGTGGTTAGCTTGGAGCCTTGGACTATGACTATATCAGAATTAAACAGATCAACTTAGACCGGATCAACTTAGACCGGACCTGACTAGAAAGTTTCAATCAAAATAAACATTTGCTTATTCATTTATTAAGTTGCCACCCACTGATTGTCTGATTGCCTAAAGAAATACAAACCGACATATAAAACTTTGGGTTACATCAGAACCCAAGTTTTAATATTATCTACCACTAAGCAAAACCTTCTTAAGCGTTAATTACGTATGCAAATTGCTTTACCCTTTTCATTTTCTACACAAACACATGATGAACAAGAGCAATATCATACCGAATGTTTTTCAGAAAGTTATAGGTAATATTGGTGTTCTTATTCCCAAAAAAAATATAGTCACTTATCCATACATAGTATTTCACAAAGTTGTATGTAATATTTGTGTCCTTTTTTCATAGAAACATGAATGAAAAAGAAACGCAGAGTATCTTTTTGGTTAATATCTATTCATGATTTTTGTGGCTAAAAGAAGTATTGAACCATTGAAGTAGTAAAAGTGTTGTATGGAGGTCATAAATGTCTAAAAAATCCATATCCATTTTACAATGTGTATAGCCTGTAAAATAAAAGGTCAAAGCTTGAAGTCCAAATAACTGGCAGAAGCTTGGTATACACAAGATAACACTACATATACTTTGAACCAAATGGATGAAAAAACTGTCAAATGTATCAAAGTGGTAGTCAACCCAGTAACTATGACAAAACTAGTCAAGCATTTTGTTGTGGAGATTTCTTCTTGTATTCCTTGGTCAGGGAAGTAGCCATTAACAATGAAATCTGAGAGTAACTTATCTTTGGATTGAAAAGTTTCCATTAACCAGTCACTAAGATCGTCAGATACTGGCATCTTTTCGACTGGGATGCGCCTAACATGCATGTGAACCTCAGATGGATCTACTCCGAAAACGTTGTCTATGAGAGATGGGCATTGATGCTTGTATGCTATAGTTATGTCGTAAACTGCCAAATGCAAAAGAGGTAAGTTTAAGGACATATAACTCAGAATGATGTCTATTGGAGAATAAGGTGATAAAGAGTGCCCCACATTGGATCTTATGTGATCTATAGGTATTAGCGAGGTAAATTATACTCCCTCTGTCCCATAAAATTCTTCCAACGTTCCATTTTGGGATGTCCCAAAAAATTCTTCCCACTTATCCATTTTTGGAAATTTTGTGTGACTCACATTCATTCACATTTTTGTTACACAATTACAATAATACATTTCCACTTAAATCTCACTTCCTTAATATGCGTGCCAAGTTGATGTGAGAAGTTTTTTTTTTGGGACGGAGGGAGTATCTTTTTAAGTGACTTAAGCCTAACTTTTACTCCGTAGTATGTATTGAGACCCGGCCCGATTGGGATTTGTCCAATTGTTAGAATGACAATCATCATATGAGTAAACTTTACCTCCTGAAAAATCATAGGAAGAGTTAGACCTAAATAATATAATGACTTAAAGTTTATCTTTGTGAAGAACTAAAGGACTTTCCTTCCTATTATAACTGCTGTAGTATTTGGATTCACATATTATATTCTCAAATATCTTCAAAAAATTTGAGATGAAGAAAATAATGAGTTTGGGTATTAAAAAAGGAACCTGCATCCAAGGAATGTCTCAGCATATTCAAGCAAGTAGAGAAACCCTTTGACTTGGGGAGCAATACATTCTTCATCACTGGAAAGCCATTATCAACAGCAAACTTTTGGCTTCTAAGGCATTTCTGTTCACTATAAGCAAAGAACACTTCAAATTCTAAACAATGTAACATGTATGAGATTAATTGCTATAAAGCACATAAACACTAGAAAAGGTACATTTCCGCTTCAGAAACTCCAGAAACTCTCCAAACACGGAAAGGAATGCATTTTCCATTTCACATTTCCACATTTTCACATGTTTCCGTGCAATATAGATTAATTGATACTCTATAACATATTCCTTACGTAAAATCAGTTCCTTCGGGGAAGACAGCTAACCACAATGAATCATGTGGATCTGTGAAAGTCGAAAGCGTGGAGTGTAAAACCGGTTCATCCACGTCCCATTTCCTCTCCAAAGGGATGAACTCTAGGAAATGAAAACCCCAACCAAAAACTGGCAATTTCATCAAACTCTTCTTGAGTACATACTTTATGTGACCCAAACACCCCTTCCTCAATGCTAGGTCCCACAAATACATCCAGTCGACCTCCGTTCGATGATTGGAAATCAGCAGAGCGCGTTCTCCTTTCGGAAGACTATCTCCATAGAATATTACTTTGGTTTGGTTTATCTTTTCGAACATTAAAGGAAATAATCCTAGCCAAATGCCAAATAAAAGAGAGGTTGCTTTCCTATAACAGTGTGTGCTGAAATAGCGTAAGATTACTCCCACTGGGACAAGGTATATCAAGAGCATTGATGCACTTAAGAGGAGGATTATTAAAAATGTCAAACCCCTAATGATTCTTAGAATATTCAAAGGGCGGTGCTTAGAGGCTGGTTTAGTCGATTCAAAAGTTTGACCATTCACCATGGTTCGTTCCTCATTCAACCCCAACAACTTTTCTGGCTATAAAAAGAAAAGAAAACATATCAATAGTGTTATAAAGTTAGAAGAAAACGAATCAAATGAAATTTCTAATGAGATCATTAGCAACTTTGATATCTCAACGAGCACTTCGAAAGCAACGATATACACGGTACATGTGTGACATGAAAGAGTTTGACAAATGAATTCAGTCAATAGAATTCTTCTTTCTTTCACTCCAATAGACCAATACCTTCAATGTTTGTAAATACTTTTTATCGACAACGTCTACATCCAAACACTGTGTTTGTCATAGTGACGAAAAAGATTTGAAAAGATAGAAGACCACTAAACTAACTATACGTATTATATTCATCAATTTTACAGTGGATATGTTTTTTGGATGTTTATTTGGACTAAAATTTGATAAGGGAAATTTACTATTATCCCCCTGAGGTTATGCCATAATTATTAATGCAACCTTGCATTTTCAAAAATCAATTAGTTACTCCCTGAGTTTGGATCATTCTCATTCTTTGCCCCCTCGCGTTAATATTTGTTAAATTTAAATTTAATATAATTCTTAAATTCAATGAAAAATGTCTATAAAATTAATTCTTAATTTAAAACACAAATTATCATTATTATTAGTCATTGTTGTTGATCGTTATTTTTTTACTTAGCTACTCCATCGTGGAATAAATATTATTGAGAGTAATTAAGAGAAAATACTCATGAGTAAGATATAAAATATCATGAATTTTTAATATATTTATTTTAAAAAATTAATTATCATTTAATCTTATAAAACTAATAAACTTTTTACAGTAAAAAAAACTTTGTGAAGATAAAATCATCACAAATTAGTAACATAGTAAATAAAATTTTTAAATAAATTAAAATCTATGATATTTTCCGTCTTAGATTGATAGCTTTCAATTATTCAGATCATGGAATAATTGGAATAATCAAATTCATCACACATTATGTCTTTTAGATCCCTTATTGATACTAAACCTATCTTTTAGGTCATGGAATGATAAGAAAAATTGGTATTCTTCTTCGCTACACATGAAAGGGATGTCATTGCGATTAATTCAACCAAATGAATTTCAAACAAGACTTTTATATTCATAATGAAGAAGTGCCTCACTTAAAAAAATGAAGAAGTGCCTAGAATTTTGATATAACATTTTATAAACAATTCTTTTTATGTATGCCATGAATATTACTTGTGAGTCTTCCCCTTAACTACTCTCATTAATAGTTACTCCACGATCGAGTAGGTAAGCAGAAAAACAAACGATCAACAACAATGACTTATAATTATGATAAAAAAATTGTACTATATTTTAGAAATTAATTTTATAGACATTTTTTATTGAAATTAAGAGGCATATTACATTTAATTTAATAAATATTAACGTGAGGGGGTATACAGTGAGAATGGTCAAAACTTAGGGGGTAACTAACTGGTTTTTGAAAATGCAAGGTTGCAATCATAATTATGATATAACCCCAGGGGCAAATAATAATTTTCCCATTTGATAATCTAATCTGCCTATTGTCTATTGACTCTATTTGACCACGAATGAAGTATTCAAAATAAACATGTTGAGAACGAACTGTTTCTTTACCACCGTATTATGTGTATTTTTAATAATAAGTCTACACTGACCTTTTGGTTTGATTTGTTTAGGTATTTCCGTATTTGGTTAGATCTATTCTTTTTTAATTTAGCACTGAATTAAGAGCCCATTTGGTAGCACGAAAATCGGCTATTTGGACTGATTCTGCTGAAATTTATGAAATTATGGCTGAAGTAGCTGCATTGGCCGATTATGCTGATTTAAGAAAAATAATTAAAAATATATTTTATTAATAAAATAAAGAAAAAATTGTACGTAAAAATAGTTAAAATCGTCATCCACAGTAACTTCAGTCAATACAGTCTGAAAAGTAACTTCAACCTTACTTTTTCTACTTATTACACAATTCAACGCGCAATAACAAAAGTTGCGGGTTTGATGAAAAAGTTGATTGTTAAGTCTGATAAGCCGAAAAACATTGTTGCCAAACAGCCTCTAAATCCTTAGACAATAATTATGATTTTTCATCGCAACGATTTACACACAGAGCTATTCGTGCCTATTCCTTAAGAGACCTTAACAAATTAATTTTGTACCGCGTTTGGACAAAGACGAATGGGTCACTAAATCACTATTTATGGATGTCTCTTTATATGGAAAGGTAATTACTACAGTAATTATTAGTCGTCCGCATAAAATGAGATTTTTCTACATGCAAATTTCATATTTTGAGTTCAAAAACTTTGTCCTGTCATATTAGCGTTCTATTCATTGTCATGGGTTGATTAATGTACAATGTGCACCAATCGCCATGAGTATCAATTACTCGAGAATCGAGATTAATTCATAATGATTAATAGATGACACATTATTTTAGTTGGTAGAAAATTGTTTAGAGAGAAATTAGGCAGTAGTTCAATATGAAAAATTTAAAGTGAAAAAAGCTTAACTGATTATAGACATTTACAACAAG